TCACAAAATGAAAAACAGACAATGAATATGAATAGGCAGTTCACAGAAGAAACTGAAATGGCCAATAAATATAATAAATTTATGAAAATATTTTCCATCTAACCAGTAATTAGGCCAGTGGAAAGTAAAACAAAATGCCATTGCATAATAATGTTAGCATAAATGTAAAAATCTGGTAATTTTGAAGATTGGCAGGTTGTGGCAAAATCAGAGTTCTCATAAATTGTTGGCAAGAGTGTAAACTTTAAAGAGCTATTTGGCAAAGTCTAGTGAAAGACATGCATATAACATGTATGTGAAATTCTATCCATATATCCTAGACTAGACCAAGGTATACTAGGGGAACACAAAAATTTTCCAGTGATTCAGGGGCATGCAGAACTTTAATAAAAGTACTAATTTTTAGATCGTAAACTTTGTACTGCTTTCTTATGTGATCTGCCTGTGAACATGTCTATGTAGTATGGATTGTTCTTTTATTTATTTTATTTATTATTTTTGAGACAGAGTCTCACTCTGTTGCCCTGGAGTTTAGTGCTGTGGCCTAGCTCACTGCAACCTTAAACTCCTGGGCTCACGTGATCCTCCTGCCTCAGCTCCCCGAGTAGCTGGGACTATAGGCTACCTGACCCAACACCTGGCTAATTTTTCTATTTTTAGTAGAGACAGGGTCTTGCTATAGCTTAGGTTGGTCTCCAACTCCTGAGCTCAAGCAATCCACCTGCCTCAGCCTCTCAGAGTGTTAGGATCACAGGTGTAAGCCACTGCTCCTGGCCTGGGTTCTTCTTTTAAAAACTCTCCTTTTCCTATCACCTTTTTCCTTCCCTAAAGAAAGGCACACTTCTCATTCCTTCTGGGTCTTGTTATAATGCTTTCTTCTGAAATATAAACACCAACAGGGCATCAAACAAATAGACAATCCAAGAAGACAATGCCCTGAGAAAGGGAAGGCAGCAAAGCAAAAAGAGCTTTTGTAAGAAATGTTAAAGGGGAGATGACACCATCTTTATTTCATCAGGGAACACTTAAATTAATTGATGGTCACATGGATACATATTAACTCATTTATTTGAATCTAAAAATAAAGTCAGAATTGTCTAATAGAAAGCAAGTTTAATTTAGCTGGCTAGTTTTATGTGTTTGACTAGTTTGTTAACTGAATTATACAGCAAATACTTTGCATTATTAAGATTAGCTAACTCTATAGAAATAAAGTTTTGATAAAATATATTTTAAAAAATCTACAACATACAATATACCTAAACTAAACATGATAAATTCCAGATATCAACTTAAAAATGAGTGTATTCATAATTTTTAAAAATTAATTTTAGGAGACATAAAAGCAAAACTTAGAAAACCACTTCCCTGGAACTTTCATATACTATATAGAAGACCTAGATGTTCAATGTACCTTTATTTGTAGAAAAACTTAAAATATATATCAATAGAGGAATATAAGCCAGGTACAATGGCTCAGGCCTGTGATCCTAGAACTCTGAGAGGCTGAAGCAGGTGGATTGCTTGAGCTCAGGAGTTTGAGACCAGCCTGAGCAAGAGTGAGACCCAGTCTCTACTAAAAACAGCAAAATTATCCAGGGATAGTGGCACATGCCTATTATACCAGCTACTTGGGAAATTGAGGCAGGAGGATGCTTGAGTGCAGGAGTTTAGGTTGCAGTGAGCTATGATAATGCCACCACTGCACTCTACCTGGGGTGAGAGAGAGGGACTGTGTTGCCCCCAACTCAAAAACCAGAGATATATAAAAAATTATAGTATGCTCACATAATAGAATATGATAAAATAGTAAAATAAGTGAACTAGATATACAAGGATCATGGTATAATCTAAAAAAGGATCAAGATGGTTTGATCTCAAAAACTTAATAATGGGTAGGAAAACCAGATTATTGATACAATATAAAAACCAGCTAGAATATCATTTAAGAATATTTACATTTGTAATGAAAACACATAAAATGGACAGTAAAAATATTCTGGTTCTTTCTGATGAAAAAAGTGGGCAAAGCAATGGGGTATTTCAATATGTCTTGTGTTCCCTTCTTTAAGAACTTAAAGTGTGGCAAAATGTTCACATCTGTTTAATTTGGGTGGTAGGAACATGTGTGTTGTTATTATTTGTAATTGCCTGTGGTTGAAATAGTTCAGAAATAAAACAAAATTTAAAAAATTTGACAGTAATAAATAGACATCCTTCTTGAGTGAAATTACTTACAGGCCACGGTGGTGGGACAGAAGTTACCTCTGGAGTATGAAAATAAGCAACACCATTATGGTAAGTATAAGGGTATCCAGTTGAAGTTGTTAAATACATTGTTCCAGCTGCTGGCATTATACTAGAACCTAAAGCAAAGATTAAAAAATAATAATTAAAATGTTCAATTTAGCTTTTAAAATATAATTTCTCAACACTTAGGTAAAATATTTATGTCAACATGCACCTTAATAGCTACAGTAAAATCTGAATGTCACAGTATTTAAAAAAAATTCCCCGTGTTAAAATATCACTCATTGAAGCATGTATTTTCAAAATATTAGAGCTTTTTTAGCTTAAGGTGATTAAAAAATGTTAATAGGAAATACTAAAAATTTACCAATTCAGAGTCTAACACCTGTATAATGAAACACAGAGCTTAACAATTTAGATTATTATTTTTAAAAACACAAATTACAGTATAGAGTTACTGGAAGACTATAGACACAGTAGTAAACTTCCTCAGATCTTGGCTAGACCTTTCATTAGTAAAAGTTCAAAAATGATAGAGGCAGTGAAGTTGGAGGATACTCTTCTTTCCTGAAGACATTTTGTTTCTACCCATTTAATTCTCTGGGTCTACTATCAGCAAGCATTCATTCATACTACAATTATCTTTTATTTCTGTTATCTATTCTTTATTTAGTCTCCCTTTGCTGCTGCTGCAAACATGATTACAAGTCTTCATGTGGCTTGTCTGGTGTCTCCATCTTTTTCCCAGGCTAACTTAAGTCAAGAAAACCCCCCCAAACCCCCCAAATTGTGTGTGTGTGTACATATATATATATATATATATATAT